TTGGATTTCTATTTATCCCCAAACAACTTAGTAAAAAGCACACCTTTCATCCACTCATTCATGATGCCCCCTTTATCGAAATTAAAATTTCCAGACATGGTTAGGTCTTGTTCTGAATTTGTATTCCATTCCATTGTCTATCTTTTCCTTCATTCATTCAAGTCCAAACTGTTCTAATCATAGAGGCTTTGTGTTTTCGTGTGGGATAGGGCTGCTTTATTTGCCCCCACCCCTGACTGCATTTCTTTTTCATCATTTTTCCTGGCTATTCTCGTGCTTTCTTTATCCAAATGAACTTTATAATTGTTAACTTATCTAGTCTTGTCCCCCCCTCCCAAAATTACATGGTATTTTCATTTGGATTGCAATAATTTACACATGAACCTAGGAAGAACTAATTCCCTGGTGATGTTGAATCTTTCTAACAAAAAACAGGTATCTTTCCATTTGTTCAAGTCTATTCTCACATGTTTTGGTGTTTTATGGCTTTTCAGGTTTTTGACATTTCTTTTTATATGAAAGCCTTGACGGGTTATACTTTTTCTCTGCTATCATAATCTTTATCTTTTATTTTATAGCACATTTTGCTTATCTGTATGAAAACTATTTATTTGTATGTTAATGGGGGGGGGGGGGTTGGGCTACCCTCAGCCACTCACCAGCTCAGGCCTTCTTGAACTAGGTGCCTGCTCCCATTTGCCCAGGCCCTCCACCTGGAGGTCTGACAGCGGCTCCCCAAGCCATCTCTCCTTCAAATTATTCCAGGCAGTAGGACCTCGCCTCTCTCCAGTTGACTTCTGGCAAAATGAGGCTCACCAAGCAACCCAGGCACAAACCTCTGACAGCAAACATTTTAAGAGACAAGTTGAAACATTAATAAAATAATAACAAAGGAGGTCAAAGAAGAGCAATTACCTATACCCACTGGGGAAGATTCGGGTTCAAACGTCCTCTAGGGCAGCCCACGGCTGCCTTCCACATTATCCTCCTCCTCCGGGGGCAGTGGGTGGCGGGCATGGAATCCCAGGAAGCAGATGTCCTAGAAAACGGCCAGCTTCCACTGTCTCTCACGGCTTCCTGCAACTCCCGGAGAAGTGGCTACTTTAAGGTAAATGTAATACAGTAAGGGCACGAAGGCTGTCCTTAAAATCAATGTGTAGCTCAGTTCAGAATCTTCTAGTAATTTCATTGTATTTTAATTAGGTGTCTTTAATAATTCCTTTCTAAGCTGTCTTGAAATAATGTATTTTGTTATGTGACTGGTGAGGACTAATGATATTTCTTAGGCTCACTGGTGGCTTTGAGATGATGTTCTCTTTTACAGTTTGGTTAAGAAACCCACAATGTGTCTTGAGAAAAGTCCTTGAGTGGCTGGCCCTGAGGGGGAGAAAGCCTGGCAAACATCCACTGGACCTCTAAGCCCTGCTGGTTTTACCCCTTTCCCTCCCCTCGCCTGCCCTCCCCTCCCGCCCCTCTAGTCCCCTGGAGGGCTGCACCAGTTTCCCATGGTCCCCTCTGAAATGCTCTCCTTTCCCAGGCTGTCCTGCACATGACTCCTCCTTCCTAGGCCTTACTCTAAGCCGACACAGGGACCTATGAGAGTACCACCCAGCGAGGACGAGGCAAAGACTGTATCTCATTCACCTTTTTATCTCTAAAGAGCATAGTACATGGTGGGAACTCAACAAGGATGAGTGAATAAATGAGGTAGAGTCTATTTTCCTTTCCCTTTGAACTTGTCTCAAGGAATAGAACGCAGCGGAGTGAGTGGAGGGGCCAGCCCAGGAGCCCTAAAAACAACCCACAATCAATCCCCGTGGGAGGACAGCCCTTGCTGTCCTGGCCCCCCTTCCTCTCCTCCTGCCTCTGACTGGCTGTAGAGTCCACCACCAGCTCCTCTCAGCCACAGCCCTCCTCCCTTAGGATGGCATTTTGTGACCTTCATTTGGGGCCATCTTTGTGTGTCTCTAGGTCAGAGTGTGGCCTCCTGGAAGGCAGAGGCTGGTCTCCCCTTCTTTCTGATGCTCTCTTGCTACCTAGCTCTGTAGCAAGCCCGGAACACGCAGGCAGGCCGCCTTCTCATCTCCCCGCGGCTCCAGTTAGCTTTGTGCGGCAGACTGGTTCCACAGACCGTTTCTGCCCATTATGCTCTTCAGAGTCTCCTTCCCATCAAGAAGCAGAGTCTCCTTTCCTTTCCCTTCAAACCTGGAACTTCTTGTCTCAATGAACAGCAATGAGTGATGCTTTGAGACTTCCAGGGGTTCCTAAAAGGCAACAGGGCTTCCTCCGATTATTTCTCATTAAGCTCACCCTTGGCACCCAGTTCCCATCAGGCACCCGGAGGCCCAAACCAGTCTAAGCAGAGAGGCCACGTGGAGGAACCCCCCAACAGCCAGCATGACCAGCAGGCATAGGAGTGAGCAAGTTCTTAGAGCTCTCATGAGCAGTAAGCGCCATGAAGCCAAGGGCCCCACACGCCTGCTGCCCTCCCTGTCACGTACATCACTGAGCACAGCATCCGGCACACAGAGAGCTGCTGAGGGAACGGACTGGACGTGCACAAGGCCCTAAATTAGTGCTAGACATGGGCCAGGAGCTGGTGGGCCGAGGTTCCTGTGAAGGCTCTCTCTGCTCCCTATCCATTTGCCGCTGCTCCCAGCCTCCCGCTGCCTCTTCTGGTGCCCAGACTCCTGACCATCAGGGGTTAAGGCACAGCCTCTCCTCAAACTGAAAACATTCCGTCTTCACCTCCACACACAGCCACCTTCTTGCCAAAATAAGCCAGGAATGGTTAAGGGAGTGCCTGGATTCCAGCAGGAGTTGAGCTGGTCTGAGAAGCAAAACAGAGAAAAGGAACTACCCAAAATGTTGATTTGTTTAAACTTCACAAACTTCACAACACAAGGAAACCAGCGGAGACAAGCTCGTAATGAAGTAATCAGCCGACGCTGCTAATATTCCAGGAACACGAGCCGATTCCCCACACTTCCTGCCGCAGATATGAATAGGGTCATTAAAATATGGCCAAGGACGGGAGGGAGCGTTTACTTTTTCTGTCTCCTTAGAGTCTGTGTTCTGAAAGCTCAGCAGAAATTTAAACAAATAGCATGGAGGAATGGTGAATCTGATCATATTTAAAGAAAAAGCCCCTTTCAGATTTCACTTCCCTTTAATAAATGCTTTGGCTTCTGCAGGTTTGCTTTTTAAATCCCTGCAGGTTCCCTCCTCCCATCGGGATCGCCCATTTGAGAAAAACAAAATTAGCATCAGTTGCTCTAATATTGTTCTGCATATTTTCTTCTCTAGGTCAAGAAGAAATTGATGCTTCTCTCATACAGTTGCAGGTAAGGAGAAAGGAAGAAAGGGGAGGGTTAGAGGAAATGGGAATCAGAATGCTCCTTCTCTGATTAAAAAGTGAAAAAGTTAGAGGGAGCTCGGTGGTATAGGGAGGAGGCTGCTGAAAACAAGGAGTTACATCAGGAAATGGGCCTGCGAAGGGTGGCAGAGCTGGGTCTCAGAGCCTGTGGGTCCCCTGCTGCCAGACAAGGTCCAAGGCAGGAAGCGGGCCTGGGTGAATCTGGGTGAACCGATCCGATGCTACACCTACTGGCACTCCTGGCTCAGTGCTCTGACCTTGGACGCGTTACTTAATGTCTTTAAACCTCAGTAAAACTGGGCATCAAAGACCTATCTCACGGAGTTTTGTAGGTTAAATAAAATAAAGGAAATAAAACCTGTTCCCCAGCACATAGTAGGTGCTCCACAAATGTTCGGAAGAAAAATAAAAAACGCTCCCAATGGGTGAGGACCCTCAGTTCTGGACAGGCTGGTGGTCCCTGAAGGGCTGTGGGGCACTGGCCAGCTGCCCCCACGCTTCTCCCCACTCCGAAGCCCGTTTCTGGCTGTGGTGCAGCTCCAGGGCCCTAGGCTAGTCACCAGTTTGCTTAACAAGTTCTTTCACACACGCATACACATTTTGGCCCCAAAATTCAGTGAGGTTTTTTTCCTCCCTTCTTCCTCTGTTATTGGGTTCTGATTACTTCCATCTGGCTGCGGCAGCTCCAGTGGAGTCTCTAAAAACAAAACAAAACAAAACAAAACAAAACAAAACAAAACAAAACAAGAAGTCCTCCCAGCAAAACACACAAGCACTAACCCTAGAAGGCTGCCTCGCTTCTCGCCAACCAGCGTTCCAAGGGCCACCCAGACCCGCCGAGGCAGGGCGCCCAGGCAGGACCCATGGCACCTGCCTGCCCTGCTGGCTGCAGAGGGTCCGCCGAGGCCAGGGACCCCCTCCCTTCCCTGTCCCCGGGTCTCCGCCTGCGCCCTGAGAAGCCGGCGCCCGGGAGCCGCGGCGGGCGCTCCGGCCGGGGGAAGAGGGCGGTGGGGCGCGGTGATGTCAGAGATTGGAAACAGCATCCAGCGCCTCCGCTCCCGGCTCATCTGACTTGAGTTAGCGACCCCCACCCACCCGGCGCCCCAAATAAAGTGCTGCAGACAGGCGCGCTCTCCCCTCCCAGGATGGAACTCTCCCTGTAGGGGTGCTTTCTCCCCTCGGGGCTGGGGAGGGGCGTCCCGGCTGTCTCTCCTCCGGGTCCCCGGCCGCCTCCCCGCCCCGGTCCCGGCCGGCGGGTGCGGGCGCCCGGTGTGCCGCGCGGGGGCGCTGCGCCGTCCGGCGGCGCGGGAGCGGGAGTGCCGCCGCTCGCCAGCCGAGGCAGCACGGCTCCGCGGACTTTCCTCCAAACTCCCATCCATGCGACTTCGAGCCGGAGCGAGAGGCGGCGGCGGCGGCCACTGAAGCCGGCGAGGGAGGCCCGGGGCGGCCGGAGGAGCTGGAGGAAGCGGCGCGGGCCGCGCGGATCGCCGGAGCCCCGGGGAGCCCCCCGCGCGCGGCGTCCGGGGCGGCCGGGCCCCCGCCCGCCTCTCCGTCCCCTCTCTGCCCGGCCCGCCCGCCTCTCCGTCCCCTCTCCGCCCGGCCCACCGGCCTCTCCGTCCTCTCTGTGCCCGGCCCGCCGTCCTCTCCGTCCTCTCTGTGCCCGGCCCGCCGGCCCGGCCGGCCGGAGCCCCGCGCACGGCAGCCGGCGGCCGGTCCCGCGCCGGCCACGTTGGGATGCGGGCCGGCAGCCGGCGCCCGGCTCCCCGGAGGCCACCTGCGTGCTGGAGGTAAACTTTTGTCTCTCTCGGCGAAGTTGCGTCGGCCTTCTGTTGCTTGCCTTTCGCGGAGCGCCCCTACCCGGCCGAATCCCGGCGGCGGGGATGCTGTGCCCCCGGAGGTGGCCGGGCGCTGGGATGGGGACCCAGGTTTAGGGGTCGGGGCTAGGAACGTGACTGGGGCGGGGGTGCATTGCATCCCCCTCCTACCTGGGGGAGAGAGCCTCTCCCTCCTGGCCCTTCTCCACCGCCGGAACCGGGGGCTGTATTATTACTATTATTTTTTGGGGGGGGTGGCAGGGAGGCTGGGATGCTGCTGGACTCCGGGAGTGGGCAGTGAGTGCTCAGTGAGTCTGCGGGTGGAGGGCTGCAGCTCCCAGTCGTGAACTTCTAACCGCACTTCTCTGGCCACACATCCCGGCCCGGCCTTTCTTTCTTCTCCTCCTTCTCCCCTCCTCCGGCCCCGCGCCCCCTCCCCCTCGGCCAGCTCCCCTCTCTCTTCTCCCTTCTCCCTCCGCCTTTCTCCTCCTCCCCCTCTTCCTCCTCCTGCTTCTTCACCTCCCCCCCTCATCCTCCGCCTGCCCTCCGCCCGGGATCCGCCGGGCTGCCCGCAGGGATCCGCGTGTGAGCCCCGGCCGGTCCGGGTCCCCCCACCCTCACTCATCCCGCCCCCACTCAGCCCCCTCCCCCGTACCCCACCCTCCGAGCCAATCTCTCAACAAGTATATTTGCTGAGGAATTTGAAAAATCCACGACTGGAACCTGATCTGTGTGTGATGGATGGGGAGAGGCGCGGGGAGAGTTGGGCGCCAATCCTATTAGGGGTTTGGGGAGGGAGCGTTTCCCGGTGGGGGCGGGGGTGTGCCGGGAGGGGAGAGGAAGGCTGTGTGCTGTGTGTGAGTGTGTGTGTGTGAGTGTGAGTGTGTGTGTGTGTGAGTGTGAGTGTGTGTGTGAGCGTGAGTGTGTGTGTGTGTAGTGTGTGTGTGTGAGTGTGTATGAGTGTGTGTGTGTGTGAGTGTGTGTGTGTGAGTGTGTGTGTGTGTGTGTGAGTGTGAGTGTGTGAGCGTGAGTGTGTGTGTGTGTGTGTAGTGTGTGTGTATGAGTGTGTGTGTGTGAGAGAGTGTGAGTGTGAGTGTATGTGTGTATGTGTGAGTGTGTGTGAGTGTATGTGTGTGTGTGTGTGAGTGTGAGAGAGTGAGCGTGTGTGTGAGCGTGTGTGTGTGTGATTGTGAGGGTGTGTGTGAGCGTGTGTGTGTGTGTGTGTGTGTGTGTGTGTGTGATTGTGAGGGTGTGTGTGAGCGTGTGTGAGTGTGTGTGTGACTGTGTGTGTGTGAGACTGTGAGTGTGTGTGTGTGTGCGCGCGCGCACACACTCCAGCCCAGTTTGGGAGCTGAAGTCCACCCAACTGGGCGCCTTTGAGTCCTGCAGCGTGAATCGCTGTCATTTCCTAGGAAACCCGACCTTCACGGGAGAGGCTGGGGATGGAGCGGCGCTGCACCCGGTGGTGGCCTGTGCACTGCAGGGCCGTCTCTGGGTCCCCGGAGTGCTCTCTCTTTGGTGTGGGTCTCCCTGGCTCTCGGAGTGGATCGGACTGGAGCTGCAGGCCTTTCCCCAGCGCCCGCCGCCCCGGGCCTCTGGCCGCTCCGCTCCCTGCCCGGGGCGCTGGGTGCACGGCCTCCCGCTGGGGCCTCGCCCGGCCCCGCCCTGCGGCTGTGTAATCCCGGCCTCAGATAAAGGAGCAGTTGTAAAACGCTCACAGGCTGTTTGCAGACGAGGCTCTGGGGATGTTGGAGAATTTGAAAGTAAACGTTTCCCTCACAAGCGGCATAAAATAGTGTTTAAACAAATATTGTATTGGCATGCTCAGGGGGCTCGGTGCCAAAAAGTAAAGTAAATAAACTGCGAAATCCAAAATATACAGCGGTGGACAGCAGGGGAATAGGCGGGCTCCTCACAAGGCCCTGATGGAGTTTGTTTGTTTGCTCCTCACCTACCGGGATCCTCCCGCCCATTTCCCACCTTGGCTGGCAGGTCACCTCCCTCTCCTGGCCTCCTGCAGGCCCCTGGGCCTGGGAGCCCCGAGGAAGTCCATGGTGTGGCTGCCAGGCTGGCCTCCCAGGGGAAGGGAGCACCGTGGCTGAGCCGCTGCCGGGAGTTCTGATGCTCTGGACGGGTCCCCGCTTCTGGTCTGCGGGGACAGCCATTCTAGACTCGGGATCTGGAACCGCAGATGCGCCTTCCTCTCTTCTCCAGCCTCTGACCTCTCTCCTTGCTCCTCTTCATCTTTCTTGCTTTCGTTTTCCTAGTCGCGCAGCCGCTCCCTCCGCCGCAGAGGGTTACAGGAAATTGTGGAGATGTCCTCTCCCGGATTTAAGTTCCACTCAAACCCGGACAGGGGGACAGTTGTCACGCTTCTGAGAGTCTCAGAGTTGTATTTTGAAATATTTGGGTGGTTTTGCATTTCTTCGTGCTTTGAGAGATCGGCTGCTTTCCTGAGGTTGAGTGGTTCTGGGGGATGTAAACGAATGCAGGAAGGTCCCATTCCAGGCGGGGAGCCTGGGGCCCAGGAGACGGCCCCGCAGTGCACAGCCCTCCCGTGGTGGGCATCCGGGTGACAGTGTGGTCAGACCTGTCCGCTTTCTAAGTCAGTAGGTGCGAATGAGAGGGAGTGGAGAGAAACACTCCAAACCGGGCCGCTCACTGCGGAACGAGGTGGGGCTGTGAGATGTTTTTCCTTCCGTGGGAATCGTTCTGAGGGGATTTCACACAAGGGGCAGACTCCATCCACAGAGCCTCCCACGCTCCTCAGCCTTGCAGGGGACTCCTGGCCTGCCCCCTTGAAGTGTGTGTGAGAGGTAGACCAGACCCCTCTGGCCCAACAGCGTTAGGGCGGAGGCCACGCCACTGCCCCGGGGGTGCTCCGGCCCGCGGAGGGGACCCCGGGGGTGCTCGGGCCCGCGGAGGGGACCCCGGGGGTGCTCGGGCCCGCGGAGGGGACCCCGGGGGTGCTGCGGCCCGCGGAGGGGACCCCGGGGGTGCTCGGTCCCGCGGAGGGGACCCAGGGCACCGGTCAGCGGCTGGTTGCCGGGCTTCAGCGGGCTTGGGAGCTGTGTGCCGAAGCCGGCTTGTTTGCACTGCAGACTGAAAAATACACAAATACTTCATGCTTTTTGTGCTCCCACAAGTGCCCTGTACACAGTGTAGCCCCTGGGACTGGATTAGCAGGCCAGGGGATTCAGCAGCCTGCGGACAGAATGGGATATTTGCCTAATAAACACCCTGCATCCATCGGGGCCTGAGGGGTGGGTAGGGGGGCCCTTCACCTCACAGATGCCAGCCATCCCCTTTAACTGGGACCTGGAGGTTGTCACGTGTGCTTTGAAAGCCTGTGCGACCCCTACACATGTAGCTGGCTTAGTCCAGGGCAAAACCCAGTCCTCCATCGTGTGCATTCTTGGGGCAGGCCACTTGTCTCTTCCTGGTGGAGGGGTGTGTTCAGTGGGGCTTCCGTTCGCCTGAGGGCTGCTCGCCCATGACGCGGGCCTGCGGGAGGTGGTGCAACCCAGCCCTGGCACAGGGGTGATTTCTACCTGTGCCAGGGCCTGGGTCCTGGCACTCGAGGGCCTCCAGGCAGATGGACCCGGGGGCCTCGTGGCCCGGGGTGGACAGCTGCAGCTGCTCCCGCTGGGCGGGCGCCCTCTGAAAAGGAACCCCAGGGAAGCATCAGTGAACGGCAGAGGCAGGGACCAGTGAACCCGTGAGGAATGCCAAAGAGAAAAACTATCAGGTTCCAGAAAGTGCGGAGCGGGGCTCGGTGATGGTCCCAGAGAGCGGAACACACACCGTTTCAGGGGCAGGTCACGGCTGCCACATGCACGGGCGGGAGGCTGCTCCGCCTGCTCCCGTGGGCAGCCGCCGTGGGCAGCCGCCGTGGGCAGCCGCCGTGGGCAGCCGCCGTGGGCAGCCGCCGTGGGCAGCCGCCGTGGGCAGCGCGTTCGGTGTCCTCTGGTGAAGAGCAACAGCTTCCTGGTTTTCAGATAAATGCAGGACTCCAGACCCCACGTGACTCATCTTCTCTGAAAATTGGAGCGTTTGCTGCGGAATAGAAAGGCTTTAAGGAAAGAAAACATCGATCATTGCTTGTAGATTCTGAGGGTGACAAATACATCCTTACCCTTCAAACTATGCTTAAAGCCGTGGGAGAGCCCGGCAACCGTCACTGCATACGTTCTGCGTGGTTTGCATCTTATTTTCTCAGTTTCTTCATCAGCAAAGGCGCCCTCAGCAATCCTGTGCTGTTCTGAGTCTAGTTTCTTTTATACAAAGGGGGAAAATAACTTAGTTAAGATGTGACCAGAGAGAACACAGCAAACTGTCTTTGTGATGTTGGTGTAAGTTGAGTGAGTGAATGTGGCTTTGTGTGTGCGCATGTGTGTGGTTGGTTAAGAAACCAGGGAAGAGGGTCTTAGCGGAGTGCCAGGTTTCATGCATTAGCATAAGAAAAAAGTTGTAGTGCATTTACTATTGTCTGGAATGAGGAGTGCCAGCAAAGGGAAGGGAAGCCCAAAAGGGTGATGGTCCATTGATTCCCCAGCGGCCTCCGTTGGTCGTGGCTGAAATCTGTGATCGGATATCACTTTTATCTTGCTTTTCCATTCTCAGGCCTTTTTCACACATCCACTTTTGTCAGGGTTTATTGATTATGTTTTCTTCTCTGCAAATCTGTGGAAAATTTAATGAACCAAAAACATAGTGAAGTAAAGGGGACTTTTTATTCATTAGTGCGGGATTGATTCCCCCCTTGGGGGGAGGCCCTGGCCTCCCGAGCGGGTGGGGGGTGGGGAGGGTGGGTGGCCCTGCTGCAGGCAGCGGCAGGGCCTCCCCACGCCGGGGCCTCCCTGCTGACCAGGACGCCTCAGCCAGGCACTCCTGTCCCAACCAAACATGACAGCCCTCATTCCCCCATGGCTGTCCCAGCCAGCCCGAGTCCACACGCTGCAGACCCCTGCCTG